CCCACTGCACTTGTTGGTGTGATGGTAATTTTGTGCAGTTCTATTACCAGCACTGGAAAACTACCTACCTCTCCCTGTTGTTTTAGTTTATGGACTTTGCTTGGTGTGAGGTCAGAATGCAACTCGTTTAACTTACAGTTTTTTTCCAGAATCCTGTCTATTCACATGCTGTGTCCCATGCTATACTACATACTGATAGTACACAGTTTATATACAATATATAACAGTATGCTGTTTTTGCAGTTAGTATAAAAGAAACCAGTGTCCTTAAATCAAACTGTTTTGATAATGTTGTGGTTCCGATGGAATTTCAACAGATAATTATGTCCAATATTATGTAACTCTGAGTTTAGGCCTCTCTCTGATCTCCTCTGCCCTCCGTTCTGTGCCTGTGTTCACTAGTGTTTACAAACACAAACACACACATATTAACACACACACTCACACACCTACACACACACACACACCTTCACACAAATACAGCGGGCAGCAGAGCAGAAGCCACAACAGTGAGAATTAATGTTATCTTTTTTAGTCATGTTGACACTGACACTGCTCGTTATACACAAGTGCAACAAAATCCTCCATTAAGGAAGATTATTTGAGCAATTTCTCAAACTCCTGCTGAACGAATGTGGGACAGATGCTGAGCTAGCCTTGAGGCGTTGGACTAGTCAGTAATAACTTATTAGCGGGCTTGCTGTGTCTTGTGCGTCTTGTGTCTGCGCTTGCTTGATATTTGCCTTTGTTAGCAAAGTTTCCACAGACAGAGGTTTAGCTGCTAGCTGTAAATCTGGAATAGCAGTTCAGATCAGAATTGAAATTCTCTACTAATTGTTCAACCTCCACAACATCTCCTCACTTGTGCACATCATAAAAGCAATTTCTCATTATTTTGAACATATTGCAAAAGCTTTGACACACTGAAGCATATGAGTATGTACAACTGTCTGCTGTTTCCTACATTATCAGTTGCTTATGTCATGCTGATCACTATGCATTATACCAGTCTCTGGTGAATAGTCTTACCCCCCAAAACATCTAGGCATAAGTTTATTGCATAAGTCACTACAGGCAAAATGACTGAACACGTTGTCAAAATCAAAGTTGAATAAAGCCAAGCTTTATTGTCATTCAAGTATACAGCTGAACGAAATGTTGTTTCGTACAGACCATGGTGCATAAACAGGAATAGACAACAACAAATCACAACATGCTACAGTAGCAATACAGCCCTCACACCATTCACACGATACACACAATACAATAAACAGTGAACAGTAACAATACACTATGAGCAGTACATACAAAGAGAAAGAGAGAGAGAGAGAGAGAGATAAGAGAGATAGGTCATCTATATCTGTCAATCATATTTTCTATACATGTCTATAAGATTTTGTGTAAATATGTCCTTACTGTAACTGATGAAGATATCTGTTGTGATGTGGGTGAGAATCTGTGACCTGACAGGAACATCAGCCTAAGGAGTGTTTCACATGCTTACATTTCTAATTTTGTAATTTCTACCATTGTGCTATCCAGACAGTCCTTTCTTTTTCTATTCTGCATTACAATGACATGGTCTATCAACAAATTACAGCACGAACAGTAAAAACGTGACTGTGATTCCTGTCCAATCTCTTGCAATGTATAACTTTATACTGTTGAAATTGATATGACATATTGAAAAAGTGCAGCACTGTGCATTTTCAATCATTCAGTCATCAAAACATTAGCCATAGTTTCCATCAAAAACACTTACAGAGTACACTATTATATTGATAACATGACTAAACATTTTGACTATCTTGTTCGTAAACAATGACACAAGGATTTGTCATTCTGGTGGCACTGACATGTTCAATGACATTTCATTTTGAGAGATATACTAAGGATTCTGAGTTATTGGCTTTTGCAGGTAAACCACTGTGTTGTGCTGTTCGATGTGTTTTGAGAAATGCACTTACTGTTTTGCAATTGTTAGGGATGATTCAAGAAATGTACCAAAGCGATTGAGAAAAATTGTAATGATAGCAAACTTGTGTCTCTTGCGTCGGTTGCTGTCTAGCTTCTGCTTAGCTTGCGACTAAAGTTTCAAGAAACATTATGAGCAGGGCGAACAGGCAATATAACCAGGCTCCGCAGCCTCTTTGAAAGTAACACTAGCTAATGGCAAAGTCGAAGTCCAATCACAATTTTCTGCCATATATTGTGATGACGATTTGATTTGCAATTTTGTTTTTTGGTTTAGCTAAAGTTCAATATCACTGCCAGTCTATTTTTGACGGAACTTGCCTCATCAAGCAGCACAGATGAGATGACAGGGCAGGAAGTCAGACACAGAACGGCATAGAGAAGCCAGTTGATTTTCAAAACAAAACACCCTGTGCAAATTCCTGATTGTGTATCAACAATAAACACAGTTAAAACAGATAAAAAATAAACAATTTAACTACGTAGCCTACTTAACCATGGTAGAAGCACAAAAATCATGACAACCGAACAAATCAACACAATCTAAACAAGTCAGCAAAATCAGGCAATGCTCCATGTGGGAAAAGCAGCATGCAGAGAGTGGCACAAAGTAAATGCTCTGTATTTGTATAGCGCCTTTTCGACCACTAAAAGTGCTTTTTACACTACATCCACACACTGAGCCTAAGTGCTCAAACAATTCAATTCAATTCAATTCAATTTTATTTATATAGCGCCAAATCACAACAACAGTTATCTCACAGCGCTTTTCATAAAAGAGCAGGTCTAGACTGTACTCTATGATGATATTTACAGAAGCCCAACAGTTCCTACCAAGAGCAGCACTAGGCGACAGAGGCAAGGAAAAACTTCCTTTTAAGAGGCAGAAACCTCGAGCAGAACCATGGCTCAGGGTGGGCGGCCATCTGCCTCCACCGGTTTGGGTGAAGGAGAGAGAGGTAGAGAGAGAGAGAGAGAAACAGAAACTAACATTCACACACTGGCAGAACTGGCCGCCAGGGGCAATTCAGGGTTCAGTATCTTGCCCAAGGACACTTGCAACCAGGTGGAGCCTGGTTGCATGATTGAAGCACCGACCTTCTGATTAACAGCCAACCCACTCTACCTCCTGAGCCACAGCCACACACAGAGATCTGTTATTCGTAGTTGAAGCACAAGAAAGGACAAATTAACAAAACGTCAACAACGTAGGGCAGCTAAACACACAAAACCACTGCACAGCCACCACCTGTGTCGGTCCGTCTGACACCATTATCCTACGTTTTCCTATAGTTTCGTTTGTTGTTGTAAAATGTACACGCCCTGTGCCCACTCTGATTGGTGAGTAGGACCGTAACAGGAGGCTTTTGCTTTAATTTATTGTGTTTGCAAGTTCTTCTTGGAAGTGGTGTTGTTTAATTTTTGCAGCGTTGGGTAGATAAATATTTTCCTTTGTGTAATGCATTTTCTGACTGCAGAGTACATCAACGAAACACACACACCAAAAACTGTCTGCTTAATTACTTTTTTGGGTATCCTTAATTTGGTGACTCCAAACCTGCCCAAATTCGTTTGGAGTATATAAGTGAGACACAGCTACAGTTACAGTACAGTAGCCGGGCAGTTTCCACATGTGAGTGACTGGCTGATACATCCTGTTTTACTCAAAACACAATACTGAATTTAAGATGCCAGAAATCCACTGCTTGGAAACATCACATCATCAAATCAAACGTAATCAGTTAAGTAAACAGTAAGTCGCTACAGCATCACCAGCTGTATACTAACAAATATAAATATTTTAGCCCTAAGTAATATATTGATGGTAAGAATGACTGTTTTATTTAAATACTGAAAACAACTTTTGAGTATGAAGAAAATATGAATTACTCTAAATTAAAATTCAGGTGAAGCATGTTGACCATATACCTTTCAATCTAAACAGTTCAGACAGCTACATAACAGTTTCCGTCAGTTATACGTGTGATTAATCATTAACAACTAATCTGCAAAAACACAACCCTGTGGTGTTGTTAACAAAATCGGAAAAACAAACAAGACTATTTTACAGCACTGCATTTAGCACAACAGAAAAAAAATCTTTCTAAAACATTAGAAATGTAAACATGGGAAACACCGCTCAGGCTGACATTCACAGATTCTCATCCACTTCACAATGGATAGCTTCAATTCAGAAGACATTTTTTTTTAAAAGTCTGACAGACACTTTTATCTATACATATATGTGTGTATGTATATGTACATAAAAATATATACTGTACATCTGCTGGTGATTTTTGCTATTCACTGCTCACTTTGCATTGTTTCTGTTTACTGTGGATGGTATTGTGTGTATGGGCTGAATGGTCGGAGGGAGGGCTGTGTAGCTTTTGTAGTGTGTTGGGGTTTTTTTGTTGTTTATTCTTACTTTGTTTATGCACCTTGGTCCGTACGTATGTAACAATATTCAGAATAACAATAAATTTAGATTTTGACAACGTGTTCAACCACTCTGCATGTGGTAACTTATGTGGTGAACTTGTGCCTAGATGTTTTGGGGGGTAAGACTATTCACCAGAGACTGGTATAATGCATTGTGATCAGCATGACATAACCAACTGATAATGTAGGAAACAGCAGACAACTGTACAGAATCATTTGCATCAATGTGTCAAAGCTTTTGCAATTTGTTCAAAATAATGAGAAATTACTTTTATGATGTGTACAAGTGAGGAGATGAGGTGGAGATGGAACAAGTAGTTTTGAGAATTTCATTTATGATTACAGAAATGTAATGTTACTAAAGCAACTGAGAAAAACTGTAATTGTTTGAAGGTCACCCATTTTTAGTATTTAGTGTGTTCAGTTCAGGTGAAGGAAGCTCCACAGAAGAATGAAGAAGGCTGTAGGTTGTGGGTTGTATTTCAACATAACTTTTAAGGTTTTTTTAAATAGTATCTGCCTATTTTAGTACTCTTGTTTAGGTGCACAGAAAGATAGATAGATAGATAGATAGATTAGACTACCTGTCATTAATGAGTAGTAATTAGGGTATGATAAACTCGGGAAGTCCGGCGTCATGTAGTCCACCTTCACCCCATTGCCCACGAGCTCGCGAAATCCGGGTAGCGCGTGCAGGTCATCCATGTAGTCATAACGGAACCCATCGATCAGGAACACGAGCAACGGACTTGCCGCGAGACACTGCTGTCCCGCTCCGCACAGCAGCAGCAGCGACGGGAAGAGAAGCAGGGAGCACGCGGGTGTCTGTCTCGTGGGCATGACGGTGTCGCTTTGAGCTGAGGTCACTGACAGCGGCTGGAAACCCGGACAGCCGATGGCTCGCGCTAGAAATGAGCTGACAGCTCTGTGGGAATGATGTCCCAGTCCTACACTCTGGGCGGTGGGTGGGATCAGAGGCCCCGCCCTCCTAAGGGCCCCGACTGACATGCAAGAATTGTATAATTCACCCACTTTTAATAAACTATGCCTACTTACTTAACTCAGTGTATGCAAACATGAACACGGGAAGAAGAGGTGCTACGAGCCCCTCAGCACCCCTAAACCCAGGCATTATAAAAAAAATGTGATCAATGCAGACTGACTATATATATATATATATATATATATATATATATATATATATATATTAACACACACACACGCTTACTGTTTTATTTATTTATTTTATTTTAATTTTTAATAGGCCTATATTTTTATTTTTTTAACACACCATTTTTTAACACACCATAACCCATTTTTATTACATCGTGGGGACCAATGACTGGCAGGTGCCTGGTGGGATCCACCCTTTCTGAAGGGTCTAGAGATATAATTTGAACTGTTAAATACATTTTAAATGTATATGAACACCCCATGGGGACCAGTCATGTTAAGTCTATTGGCATAGAAAGAATACCATTGTTATTCACTAAACAATTCAATCAGTTCATCGTGAATCTAATAATCCAGGCTGCCAGATGCCAGATTCTTCAAAAAGAGATCAGATTGTGATTGTAAAATATAATTGTTGGGCAAACATATAATAGAGCAGTTGATAAACATGATAGGTAATTTTTTAAACTTTACTTCATGTGATTTGCATCTTTGAAACCTGAACCAGAAAGAACAGCATCACATGTCTCCTTATTGTTGCGCTGCATCTTTTTTCAATTTTGTGTTTTCTTTATTTGAGTGAATGAGTTTTCTTAAAACAGTTCTCATAATTTAATTAATCGTAATATAGTCTGACCTATGACAGTGACAAAGAAGAATCAAAATGCAGTTGAACAAGAGATATCCTTTTTATTATTCTTTGTCAAAACCTGGTGCCTACATTACCCACAATGCACATCTTACTCTAGCAGCCAGTTGGTAGATTGGGTGTAGTATGCTAGTAGCGGTTAATGTAGCCTGCAGCAGAGATGAACAGCAGCTTAAGAGGTCTGGGAGCTCACTTCTTTCTAACTCCACACCATCAGATTTGTTTCATTTTCAAACTTGTAGTTTTTAACTGACTGTGACACAAGTGACATCACTTGAGGACATTTATCAGACTCTAAAGAGTTCCTACTACTTCTAAAACATAATCATGTAGTAGAACTCTATATCTCAGAGAATACTGAGGGTGCCAACACATATATCATCAGAAATGATCAGTTACAACAAATGCAAAGGGCAACACTTATCAACACATGAAAAAAGTGCAAACCCTTTTTCACTTAATTTGTCTTGCACTTTCACCCTGAATAGCAATGATTTGATTTTTTACATAAAACTTAACTGCTGTCCAGCTTCTTCCTTTCAGTGCTTCTGGTGATGCTTTTAACAGGCAACACACTTTCTTGGTACTTTACCAGATTCCATGAAGCCCTTTAGGGTCTTTTCAACAGCTTAGACCTCTGCAAATGGCCATCAAAGAGGAGGCTCTTTGAGGTTTCTAAGAAAGAAAGACAGACAGAAAGAAAAAATAAAAAGACAATCAGGGGTGAAGTTAAATTGATCAAATATGTATTTCCATCAGGCAAAGTCCAGAAAGCTGATATTCTGACACCAAGTCAGTGTTTAAAAAACAGCCTAGTAACTTAATCACTAACTATATTCACACAGCACTGTAGTAACTAGGTTACATCCTGTTGTGAGAACAGAGGTGTTATCTCTTACAGAGACTAAAAACTGTTGGTTGCAGTTGGTCAGTAGCCTGTTAGCATGCTTATTTTCAGATCTGCACATATTTTGAAATGGATTTAACTGAATACATTTGGCTGTATTGAGCTGGGTCACTTTAAAAGTAGCCCACTTTCTTGTCAGAGTATATGAAGAGACTGCACAGTGCTTTAGATAAAAGCAGACAACTAACAAATAGCAAGGATTGCACTTTCTTTGAAATACCTGGTTTAAGGTCATCACTGTCAGACTCAAAAGTTTGTAATCTTCTCTTAGGTGTTGATGATCCTGTTAAAATAACAAAAATTAAAATATTATCTCAGTGTTTAGAAAGACATGGATAGAATGGAAAGTAATGTATGTGAGTCTATGGGATACCTATGGGTGCAATGTCATCACCAAACTCATCAGTGGTTGGCTGGATCCGACTTTTGCCTGGCTTTGTTGTGCCGCATTTTTGTGCAAGCTCGCACCTGGACATGTGCCTACATAAGGATTTTCTTTTAAGCAAAGCCTCACAGTTTGTGCAGTGCATGTAGTCACTTGGTTTCACTGGTTTCCTAGCATGCTGACTTGGAATCAGAGTTCCCCTACCAGATTGTAGGACCTCATCATTATGAGCACGGTTTCCTTTATTTCTAATGTGGTCAAAATGCAATTTTCGTTCCTTTGAGTTTAAAGGAAAAGTCATTGCTTGCCATTTTCTTGTTTGTTGCTTCATTACTAAGATTTCCAAGGTTTGTGTCATCAGAGTTTTCACTTTCTGTTTTCTTGTCATCTTTATCAGAGAAAGTACTGGGCACTGTCTTTCTTCTGTCAGTTCTCTGTGACAGCTTCCGTTTCTTTAGTTTCAACACTGGAATATCATAATATTCCTCTGAACTGCTTCCAAGTCCTAAGTCTTCTGATGGAATATATTCATCTCCACTGCTTTTAATGCAGCTTACATTTTTACATTTTCAAGGACTTCACTCAAAGCAAATAATTTATTTACAAAGTTTTTAACAAAGTATTTTTGTATAGAATAGTCTAAGTACAGGATAAGGAAACAGGACGAGTCCAAACTTATGTATTCCTGCATACAGAAAAACCAGCTGACATGATCCCAATCAGACATTCACCTTCGGTTTTTCTGTGTTTTGGAACAATTCAAAATCTTGCGTCTTGATTGCTTTGCATATATGTGATTGAGAAAAGAATGACAAATATATTGTGCCACACATAAAAGCACTGAGAGTTTTACTTTAGTACTACCTATTTTAACATTGAATATAATGTTACACAGTGTCTGTGTAGCTGTGAAGAAAAAGGTAACAAAAAGGGTATGTGATATTGACTGCAACTCAGTCAGTGGGATACCTCTGGTAGCAGGTTCAACACCACCAGGCTCGTAAAGAGGTCTGCTGTCTTCTGTTGGATGCTGGGGTTCCTATCAGAAGAATAAATAGTATATAAAATGAAAAAGCTGTAGGTTGTCACTATGGAATACCACAAAAAATGTGAAATATGGTGATTGCAATGCAGCGTATGTTAAATTTATTATAACCAATGTACTGCAAATACTCCAACCACTGTATTGTCACCCAGTCTACAATAAATTATCAACCAGTGCTCTAAAATTTACCAAAAAACAACAACTCTTTAGGCAAATTAGGCTGTCAATCAGTGTGTGTGGAGCAAGTCAACTGGGCTTAACTTCAGTTTGCTAGAGTCTCTAGATTGCTTGGCAAAGCTACTGCATGAAGCAGCAAGTCCTCCTGATTTAACCTGTTTCTAGTTTCTTGATTAAGTTTATTATTGTGGTCAAATTGTGGTCAGTTGCTGTGTGTGGTCATTGTTGCAAGTGTCTGCAAGTAGTAGACTGGACTCCATACTTTCCAAATGCTTAGTGCAGTTCTGAATTTCAGTGCAGAACACTGTGGGATCTTAATTATTACTTTTTGTATAGCATTCATATCATAATTTTTGGCATTTCCACAAACTAAATCACCTCCCATTATAAATTAGCTTAGTGCACAGTTGAGTCATTATATTATAATAATGTTTTCTAATATTAATAGTTGTATAGTTTAGAAGTGAATTTTGCTATCTTCATTTACAACACTAAGGAAGTAAACTACATTTAAACATTTTTAATTATTATTGAAAAACAAGATTTGATTCCACAACCTTTAGCATTCAAGACCAGAATTAACTGCTGCACCACACATTTTATAGTTAGTAAGTACAGAGTCTAGTCCCCTACAAACATGTCTAACAGTGACCACACGTAACTAAAACCTTATCAAACAACCAGAAACTGGCAAAATCAGTTAGAATCAGTAATATAATAATTTATGGTAGGAGATGTTAGATTAGCCTAAAGTCAATTTGCTACCTAACACCAAATCTGAACGATAACATCTTTTGGTCCCTTTTATGTTTATGTCTTCCCCCTAGTGCCTGTAGGTTTCTCTATTAGGTCATCTTTAGCTGGCTTTGACCTAAAACAACAAATCTATCTGATGTTTAGACTTCAGTGCTTTGTCATATTGGAATCTCTCACTATCCATGAGTTGTACTCTAATCTGTGGAGCCAGTGAGTTCTTGTAAACATTCTTGTAGGACTCAACCTTGCAAGATTCCCAGAGAACACTGATATCTGCTAGCCTGATTTCTGAGCTACTGACTCTAACTAATCAGTCTATTGTTGTCTCCCTGACAAGGACAAGTACATGTGAGAAATACCTAAAGCTAGAATGTCAGAAAACACTTATGGGGTCAGCTAAATTACTCTAAGCGAGACCTGTCTTACCTTTCCCCGTTACATCAACAAAGCCCTTAAGAAATATTCTCAAAAGTATGTACAGGGTTCACTCAAACTGCTTAAAAGTCTACATCTATATAAATAGATATATAGACTAAAGATGCATGCTAACTACACAGCGTTGAATGTATAATTGGGATCATGTCTGTTTGTTTTTCTGCATGTTGGATCCATGAGAGCTTATCTCACTCTGACACAAATCTGCAGATTATGAAAAAACTATGGAGGGTAGATCTATGCTTGTAGTTCAAAATGCACAGACAACCACACACAACCACATCCAATTCTAGTTACCTGGAAGGATAACAATAACGGGGTGAAATAAGCCATTAGCTAAAAAAAATATATAATTAGGCCTGTCATTTGGAACACATTTGAATCATTTGTTTGACACTTACCAAAATCTTGGAAGTTGCAAGCAACCCAGACGGAAGTCTGGTTTCCCCCTCTTGGTTTGGACTTTTTGAGTTCTAAAAAACAT